GTGCAGCTAAGCAAAGCAGAAAATTCCACTCCCAGTTAAAAAAAAAAAATGCAGGATTCTGGAACAAATATTTTCCTTTTTAATTGAGACTTTGGAGGGCCAAGTGTTCCTTAGGTGTCAGAGATTGCATTCATAGAACCTGACATCGGAGTAAATCTATTTTTGGATTGCATGCAATGCCCGAACCCCTAAAATTTATCCCAGCAAGCTAAGTTTATGCAACATGACAAGCCTCTCCCCGGAAAGCTAACCCAGATTGGCCACCAGGCTAGCAACTGGCTTGGTTAAGGATGCTGGGCCCGCTCAGCCAGAGCACCAGGGTTCAGCTAGCCAGCTAGGGAGGGCAGTGGTGGACATAAACCAGATCCTCCTTTTGAAAAAATAATGTAAATATTAGCCATAAATGGCATAGAAGCTGCAGCTTTCTGAAAGCACGCTCCCGGTTCTTTGAGCCTGTCCTTTTAGTGGTTTGAAATTAATGTCACTTAATTTAATTTTACTTTTAATGTTTTCGAGGGGTTTTTTTGTTGTTGCATCTTTGGTTATTTGTGTGGTCAACTCTGCAGGCTGCTCAGAGCTACGTGTGGAGATGCCTGGCTATAACAAATCAAGCGAATAATTAAGCAAAAGGAAGAGGAAAACCACCACAGCTGTAAAAAAATCAGTTTATACTGATTTATCTCTTTTGTTCTATTAGGGCAGGGGTCTTCAAACTTGGCCCTTTTATGACTTGTGGACTTCAACTCCCAGAATTCCTCAGCCAGGCACACCTTGCCTCCTGACAAGCAAAGTATAGGTTCTCCTGCTTGAGCGGGGGGGGGGGGGCTGGACTAGAAGACCTCCAAGGACCCTTTCAGCTCTATTCTATTCTATTCTATTCTATTCTATTCTATTCTATTCTATTCTATTCTATTCTATTCTACTTTCCATTCCATTCCATTCTATATTCTATTATGTTCTGTTCTGTTCTATTCTATTCTATTCTATTCCTATTCTCTATTCTATTCTATTCTATCCTATCCTATTCTATTCTATTCTATTCTATTCCCATTCCATTATTCTATTCTGTTCTGTTCTATTCTACTCTATTGCATTATTCTATTCTGTTCTACTCTACTCTACTCTACTCTACTCTACCCTACCCTACTCTACTCTACTCTACTCTACTCCACTCCACTCCACTCTACTCCACTCCACTCCACTCCACTCCACTCAACTGTTCTGTTCTGTTCTATTCTAAAGTCAATAGGGAAGCCAAATTCAGTTTAATGACCGGATTAGTAACTTAGCAACTGCAGTGATCCATTTAACCACTGTGGCAAGGAAGGTCGTAAAACGGGGTGAAACCCACTTAACAAATGTCTCACTTAGCAACAGAATTTTGAGGCTCAATGGTATTTGACTCCTGGATTTTAAAAAAAACACACACAGAGAGACAATAAAAAGTTTTCCAGCATCCTTAGCCGTGCAAAGCTCACGTTGCCTTGCTTGGCTGACGGTCACGTATCTTGGGAGTAGCTCCTGCTGCCCTCCCCATCCCCTTTCCTTCAGACCGTGGAGGAACCCCCAAGGATTTGGGGCCCCGTGTGGAAAGGCGAGAAGCTGCCTCTCTTGGTTTCCAACTCGGAGTCCCCAACTTTGGCTGCCTGGTGTAGCTCTGGCACCGTCCGAATACCTTGGAAGTCTTTCCGAACAGGAAGTTTTGTCCCTGTCAAAGAGAGAAAAGGAGCCTGTTAAGAACAAGGCTGTAATCCTTTGAAATACGCCCCACCCAGGGGAGACTCAGCCTCCCTCTTTTAATGGCCTCTGCTGCTTATGGATGAGATCACGGGCTGGGCTTATCAGCCCTGTGCAGATTTCCACTTGTGGTGTTGTGCTGGAGGCGCCTTGCAGGGGTGGATGGGGGGAATATTGGTTGCTCTAGGTTCACATCCTCTACATTTGGGAGGGGGGTGGCTTTGGGGAAACACGATCCTTCGTTGGCTTCGTTTCGGTGCTATCCGCTGCCCCCTTGCCAAAGAATCCAGAGCTGGTCTCTTTTTTTAAATCCTCTTAAACTGGGCTTAGATTGCATCCCCGTGATTCCCAGTGCAGCAGGATGATTCAGACCAGTTCCCTCCACTTCCAGGTGGCAAAGAAATTCTAAGCATGGGCATTTCCATCTCCAGGGGAGGACCCCAGTCTTACGTCCGCCCCCCAGCTATGAAATCCACAAATCTGGGCCACTGTCCGTTCCACAGGGCTGTCGTGTCAAGAAAAGGAGGGGATATCTAGCTAATATCTAGAGAAAAGAGAAGATAGACATTTAAATTTAAATTTAAAAACTTCTTCGGTGTCATGCAGAAGGAAAGTCCGACTGATTAACAGCACAATATGTGCAAAGGTTCATTTAAAAAAAAAACATTTTGTCAGAATCCAATTATACTTCATCTCCAGTTATTAATTATAGAAAACCCCATTTCTGCCCTCTCTGGATTCTGCCATAAAGAAAGAGAGGGGGGTGAACAAAGGGGCTTTATGGCCCTCACTTCCTTTGGTACAACTTCAAAGGGTTTGAATGTGGTTAGCACCAAAAGGTCTTATCATAACAAAGGAGGCTATTTACCTTTCATGTAGTTTATCTGAAGTCTCCATCCAGACGGAAGAAAGGAAAAAAGGGGTGGGATTGTGATGCCTGAAACTGTCACTGGAAGAGGGGGGTGATTGGGTGGGACTACTGGGAACCCCTTAAAACCTCGAATGGTAGAGCTTGAACCCCAAGTCCTGTCTAGCACGCCTGCAACCACTTTTTCTTAATAAAGGATGCCTGTTGGAAGAATTATTCCAAGAGTTCTGTCTTCTTAAGATGTAAAGTGGGGTGGGTCCTTACACATTTCCTCCTATAAATTAGTATTTTTTTTGTTTTTACTTTTAATTTAAAACTTTGCTTTTTTTTCCCTTTAAGAATAAAAAGAAAAGAAATGAAGAGACTTTTTAAAAAATAAACACAGGGGCTGCTCGAGTCGAACCATTCATTTAGTGACCGTTGAAAGTTATGACGACACTGATGAACGGTTTTCACACTTAACAACCATGACAACATCCCCGTGGTCACGTGATCAACTGGTATGCATGTATGACGCCTGTCGCAGTGTCCCGAGGTGATGCGATCCCCGTTTGTGGCCTTCCTAGCAGGCTTCCGACAAGCAAATGGGGGAAGCCAGATTTGCTTAATGACCGCACGTTTCACTTAACAACTGCAGTGATTTGCTTAACAACTGTGGTATGAACTGCGGTTGCAAAAGGGGGGAGGGAACTCACTTAATGACTGCCTTGCTCAGCCATGGAAATTTGGGGGCTCAATTGCAGTCGTAAGTCGAGGACTCCCTGTGAAGGTTTAAAAAGCTGGTCAGAGAGTTGGAGAAATCCTGGTTCGACCCTGTTTGTGCCGTGAGAATTCACGAAATGACTTTGGGCCAATTCCGTCCTCTTTCTTAGCCCTATGTACCTTTATAGGGTGGCGGTTGTGGAGCAGGTGAGGGATACAGTGCTGTAACGCAAACACACATACACACATATTAAAAAGGCACAACGAAGAGCTCGGAAGGCGCAGACCGCCCCAGGGGCTGCTGATCCAGCTCCACAGAGGAATTACTCTCATTTGTACCCCAATCACGGTGTGGTTTGGCACCGCAATCAAACAGGACAGGTGCAGACTCCAACAGATAGTTAGGACTGCAGGAAGAACAATCGCAACCAGCCTGCTTTCCATTGAGGACTAGTATACTGCGCAGGTCAGAAAGGCTGAGAAAATAACTTAACAGACCCCTCACATCCTGGACATAAACTGTTTCGACGCCTCTCCTCGGGATGGCGCTAGAGGGCATTGCCATCACTCTGTTGAACTCTTAATTCCCACAGCATTGTCTTACTTCTCATCTTTTCTCACCCTCTCATTTTTCCTGCAACCTCCTCCTATTGGTTTCTTATGATTTATCAGTTGTTGTTTGTAACTTATGTCTAATGATTGTAACTATGATTTATGACCCATTACTTCTGTTTATATATACACTGAGAGCTTATGCATCGGAGACAAATTTCTTGTGTGTACAATCACACTTGGCCAATAAAGAATATTCTGTTCTGTTCTATTCTATTCTATTCTATTCTATTCTATTCTATTCTATTCTATTCTATTCTATTCCTCTCCATTCCACTCTACTCCATTCCATTCCATTCCATTCCATTTCTTTATTCTATTCTACTCTACTCTTCTATTCTTTATTCTATTCTACTTTACTCTACTCTACTCTATATACTCTTCTCTTCTCTTCTATTCTATTCTCTTCTATTCTATTCTCTTCTCTTCTATTCTATTCTATTCTATTCTATTCTATTCCAATCCAATATTCTATTCTATTCTATTCTATTCTATTCTATTCTATTCTATTCTATTCTATTCTATTCTATTCTATTCTACTCTATTCTACTCCACTCCATTCCGTTCTGTTCTATTCTATTCTAATTTCATTCCATTCCAATATTCTATTCTCTTCTCTTCTATTCTATTCTACTGTATTTTATTCTACTCTATTCTTATTCTACTCTACTCTATTCTATTCCACTCCACTTCACTCCACTCCACTCTACTCCATTCCATGTTCTATTCTATTCTATTCTATTCTATTCTTATTCTACTCTACTCTACTCTACTCTACTCTACTCTACTCTACTCTACTCTACTCTACTCTATATACATCCTTGAGCTCCTGGAGAAGAAGTAGCTGCTAAAATTTAATCAATTGATATTCCGATGATGACTGCTGGAGACCCTACAAAGCTAGTTGTAATGTTACAGGAGTCCTTTATTTTGTGGGCAAATAGCAGAATTTGTGTAATCCGGCTGCAGATTTTCCTGTTTTTCCAGCCCCCCCCCTCGCCCTTCTGAAGCCCGCACTGACCCAATTTCCTTTCTTCCTCCTCTCTCTGCCCCTTCTTCCTCCCCCCCCCCCGCTCTCCAGGACCAGGGGACTGTGGGAGTCATTTTCAATGTGGGCACGGACGACATCACGATCGAGGAGAGCAACGCCATGGTGAACGACGGCAAGTACCACGTGGTCCGTTTCACCCGGAGCGGCGGCAACGCAACGCTGCAGGTGGACAACTGGCCCATCAACGAACGATACCCGGCAGGTAGGGATCACAAAGCATCATCTGCCATCGTCCCCTACTCTCTTTCCCCCGACGGCGGAGGTCGGAACCACCGGGCCCTCTTTTTCTTTCTGCCAGAGTCGGTGGGGGGGGGGAAGACAACTGTCCTGGCCTCTGGGTGGCATCTCCTGTCCTTTCCAGAACCTCTGGGGCTTCTTCCCACGCTCACACATTGCAAGCCGAGGAAGGAGGGGGGAGAAGCGAAAGGAGGAATCGGGAGAAGAGTCTCAGGAAGTGGGGCTTAGGAAAGTGTCTTTAGGGCTGAGGTCCTGTTCCAGCCTTACCCCTTCTGAAGCATCTCCGACAAGGAAGGCCCTCCTGTAAATGGTCCCACTTCTCTGGAGGTGCTGGAAATTGCAAGGCTTTGAAATAATAGATAATAATACTTGTAGCTCCGGGGTTTTAGATTCTGGCCGTGGTTGGTTCTCCGAGCTTGTTTTAAGAGAATTCCTGAATGTCTCGTTACCAAGCTAGGTAACTTCCATCAGCAGGATTTCCTCGTCCTGTTCTCCCCTTAGCTCAGGGGTAGGCAACCTTGGCTCTTTTATGACTCGTGGACTTCAACTCCCAGAATTCCTGAGCCAGCATGAGGGAAACTTTGGCTCCCTCATGACTCGTGGACTTCAACTCCCAGAATTCCTGAGCCAGCGTGGGGAAAACTGCCCCCTCCATGACTTGTGGACTTCAACTCCCAGAATTCCTGAGCCAGCGTGGTTCAGCTTGGAAACCTCTCCCTGTCCCCTCAGCATGGCTGGCTCAGGAATTCTGGGAGTTGAAGTCCACGAGTCATAAAAGAGCCAAGGTTGCCTACCCCTGCCTTAGCTCATCAACCTCTTGTGTTCCTGTGTGGTCAGTCGGTCGTGCGATTGGCTGGTGGTTTGGAGCTATATTTGAATTTCGAGCAGCTGATTGGTTCTCTTGTCGATTGGCACTCCGAATGGACTGGTTTCTTACATATTGATAGGTTGTTTGGATTATCATATCGCTATGTAGGAAACCAGACCGCTCCAAGTGCCAGTCAACAAGAGAACCAATTAGCTGCTCTGGAATTCAAATCCAGCTCCAAACAAACAACCAGCTGACCACACAGGCACACAAGACGTTGATGAGTCAAGGAGAATCGGTCGAGAAAATCCTGCTGATGGCGTTACCTAGTTTGGTAATGAGACGTTCAAGGAATTGCATTAAAACAGACTTAGAGAACAAACCACAGCCAAAATTGCAAATCTTCTCTGGTCCCCCTCCCCATTAGATCTTTTTTTTTTAAATTCCCCCCTCCCCCTTGCCATCAGTTCAACTAATAATATCACTCAGGATTCAGAGTCTTGGGCCTGAACGGGGATGATGGTAGTAGAACGGGAGGCTCTGTTTTCCTTCCGAAAAGCTTAGCATGGCCCATGGAGATGGACGCAGGGTTAAAAAGGTGAAACCCCCCCCCTCCCAAAAAAACCTACCTATCTCAGTTGAGCTTCTCTCTTGAGGTCACAGAACAAAGACTTGTATTTATGACGGTTGTATTGTCCCGAGGTTGTGCGATCCCCTTTTGTGGATTTTCTGACAAGCAAAGTCAGTGGGGAAGCCAGATTTGCTTAACGACCGTGTTGCTAACTTAACAACTGGCTGTTTTATATAGTGGGTTTTCCCTTCCAAGTCCATCTCACTGGCCATCTGCAGCATTATATCTCACCCTTGTCAACTTTAAGATGGGTGGACTTCAACTCCCAGAATACCGCTGAGCTGGCTGCAGAATTCTGGGTGTTGAAGTCCCCCATCTTACAGTTGACAAGGTTGAAAAACAATGCTCTACGCTACAGGTTTCTCCACTAGGAAAGGCCATCTTCTCTAGCTGAAATGAAAAGGCCCAGATTCCCTTTTTATCATCTTCCCTTTTCTTTTTCTTTATCTTCCCTGATTGATGATGGGAGTACTTGACATCCTTTCCGCCATGACATTTTTTGCCGCTCAAGTAATTTTTGCATCTCTTTTCAGCAGCAGCCAGGGGTGGGTGCAGATAATCCTGCATATCGCGATTTCATCTAGCTTCTTCCTTGAAAAGGCTGGCTGTGATTAAAGTTCATGGCCTGCATTGGAGATGCATAGAGCTGGAGGGAGATAAGCGAGGGCAAGGAGCGGGGTCTGCAAGAAGAGAGATGTTCCTCCAGGGCCAACTGGACAGGGAGAACTTCGTGGAGTCAAGAATGCCGGGAGGGGGAAGATCTTTAGCAGGGACGGACCTCCAGCTTCACTAAGCAGGCAGTTGCCCCTCCCCAATGCTGAGTATTTCTACCCCGTAGATCTTGGACAAACCGCATCGCAGCGTCCCTCTTCCCATCCTTCCGTTCAATTAAGCGTACCTTGGGGATCCTCTTTGGGCAGTGGGCCGGTTCCAACCTCCGCTGAATCAGACCAGGTGACTCGGGAAGCTGGAAGGTGCCGGCACGAAATTGGAGGGTTGCCTTCGGCCCTGGCAAGGCACCCTGGCTGGAACTCCCTTCTCCCAAATCCATTTCAAGGTTGAATCACACACCGTTCCACTGGCTTCTCCCTCCCCATCTCCAGAAACGTCAAAGCGGAGGGAACAAATCTAACTGAGGTCAAGGCACGGAGGGCTTCTTGGTAGCAAGGATTTGCCAGCATTTCTCATACACGCACGCACAAACACAAACACACACACACACACACACACATATGTGATGCCTCCGGCTCACCTCGCTGTGAATCAGTTTGATGCAGCCTTGTCTAATGCAGCTGCAGTGGTTTCAAGATGGGTGGCTGTATAAAATGTTTTAAATAAATAGCCAGGTGTTGCCATCTCTTACCCTGGCACTCTGGAAATCCTACTCAGTTGGACATCCCAAAGGTGATTTCTTTCAAAAGCCAAGTGGACTTTCTTGTTTTGTTTGATGACATTTGCCTTCTCATCCAAGAAGTTTCTTCAGTTCTGACTAAATGGTGGGGAACGGAAGGATTGATCATCATTGCCGTCATCTGGTCGTTAGTACTCCCTCTGAGAGTCGTTGAGGTCATTTGGAGGTTTATCTGTGCCCTCAGGGTCAACTGAATAGTTCAAATGTGAGTGGAACCTTCTTGGAGCTGCTGAAAAGACTGTGTTGTAAACACACTGAAACTCCTTTCAGCAGTTCCAGCAGTTCCACACCCATTTGCACCACTGAGGTGACCCTGAGGACACAGATAAACCTCCATGTGGCCGCAACGACTCTGAGAGAGAATACTAATAACCAGAAGACTGCAAGGGATATAAATCTTTCCATTCCCCTGTTCGGTCAGAACTGAAGAAGCTTCTTGGGTGATCAGCGAAACGTCTTCAGGGAAAAAGCATCTTTAGGACAACCACGACCTGGATGACTGAGAATCTCCATAGACCAGTGTTTCCCAATCTTGACAATTTTAAGGCATGTGGACTTCAATTCCCAGAATTCCACAGCCAGCTGGCTGTGGAATTCTGGGAATTGAAGTCCACAGGCCTTAAAATTGTCAAGGTTGAGAAGCACTGCCATAGACATTTAGCCAGCTGGACAGATCCTCTGTCTGTCATCCCAGAACTGTCCAAGGTGCTGAACCACACCGGAGTCTTGCAAGCCTTTTTCTGTCTCCAGCTTCTCTGGGAGTTGTGCAAGATTTAAGACTGGTGGACTTTAACTCGCAGAATTCTGGGAGTTGAAGTCCACAGGTCTTAAAGTTGCCAAGTTTGGAGACCCTTCCCCCCCCCCCCGACACAAATGTTTTAAATCAATAACTGGAAGTTGCCATCTTCACCCTGGCACGCTGGAAATCCTACTCAGCTGGACAGAGCGTCTATCTGTCATCCCAGAGCTGTCCAAGGTGCTGAACCACACAGGAGCCTTTCTGCGTCCTGGGAGTTGCACAGATGTGACCACTGTAATGGGGACCCCTCTGGCTTTGGGTTGGGTGCATCCTGGAACGTTTATTTATGTGGATCATCTTCTGCCTTGAAAGGAAATCCTCTCTGCTGCCGCTGGCTAAGCTGCAGTTGTGTCAGGAGTTGACAGCCACGCTTCTTCTCAAAGTCTTGGTGCAGAATCAATCAATCAATCAATCAGAATAGAGCTAGAAGGGACCTTGGAGGTCTTCTAGTCCAGCCCCCTGCTCAAGCTGGAGACCCTATACCATTTCAGACAGGTGGCTGTCCAGTCTTTTCTTAGAAACCTCCAGCGATGAAGCAACCACGACTTCTGAAGGCAAGTTGTGCATTATTTTGAACTTGAGCATTATTTCCCCCCCATCATGGAAGAAACTCTCTTTTTTACCTAGCCCGGGGCGGGCTGGAAAGCAGGTTTACTCAGCTGCCGTTCCTGCCGTTTACTTCGCCAGCCCTTTACATTTTTTTGCCAAAAAAGTTGGCGCTTCAGACATCATCCCCGGCCTGGTGTTCAGAATCACACCTTGAGGGTCGGTGTCATGTCAGCCAACAGACGGGCCCTGAGGTATCTAGCCAGGAGAGATTCTAGCCAGCTCCTCCAAACCCTTTCTTTGTGAGCCACGTGGATGTTTCCAAATACAGGTGAAATAAAAGTGGATGAAATTCTTCAAGGGCAGGTCGGCTGGTCATTCAAGCACCTTTCGTGCAGAGCTAAACCCTGCACACAATCCCGGCACACACCCGGGACCATGCTAGACTAGACTCTTCGACTTGGAAGGGTTCCATGAGGCCATCAAGTCCAGCCCCTGGTTCCGTGCAAACTGAAGCATCCCTGGCAGACGCTGTACAGACCCTGCTTGATCCCGTCACCCAAAGCGGACCTTGCCGGTGGCCTAAATACGGAGCCCGGAAAGCAGCCCAGAATTTTGCTTCTTTTATTCGAAAAATACAAAGGGCCGGACAGAAAGCCTCCCCCCCCCGTGCTCAGCCCGATGGCGACAACGCTATTTTTTGAAATCAGTAAATTAACACCCAAGTGACATTATTCCCAGGCGTTTTTATGACACCTTTCTCCCCCCCC